CAAAGTCTGGTGGATTTTTTTTTTTTTTCACTTTTGGAAGGGGTATACATATAACTTTTACTATACTCACTTATTGCACTCTGGCTTTAATCAAAGTTTGTTTTTTGCTTTTTTAAACTGATAGATTTCTCAACGTTTTTACAGTTTTAGTTTTGCTCATCCATGATTACATTTTTATTTCCTTTCAGAAGAGTCTTAGCGTAGTTTAGTTTAGTTTGTGAACTTCCGTCCTTCCACTGGATGTTGAATGTTATTCAGAGGGATTATGCAACTATGTCCTGTCATCAGTGCACATATTTGTGACCTTAGTGTGCAGCAGTCAGTCACAGGGCGTATGCCTGACCAGACAAACTGGGAGGGAGGTGACAGTAAAGCTGAGGTAGGGTTCAGTGGGAAGGATCGCTGTTTGCTGTGCTGCCTTTCGGGGCTGTTGAAACTTTCTTAAAGGGGCAAAAACTACTCCACGGAAATGAGAAATGGACCGTAAACGGAAGGAATATACGAATAAGCATGTAACATAGCCTTTTTGTGAGGGAGAACATACACACATATCAGTTAATCCGTGTTCAGGACGTCACTTATCTAGAGTTGTGGGAGGAAAAGTTTTTAATTTTGGAGCTTTCTGGGAGGAACCTGAAGGCATCTCCGGCTCGCGGCTCAGCTGGTCAGTTTCTCCGCAGGAAGAGACGCCTGTAAATAAACTCTGCCAGCTCCTTAAACACAATGGTGAGTCCGGAAGTGTCTTTTTAAAAACTTTAGAAACTTTTGCGACATTCATTGCGGCGTCCGTGTGGTTTTATTTTCTATTTCTCTCTCCTGTTCGTTCTGTTCCAGTTTTACCTGGAAGAGAAAAACTGAACCTGTTCTCTGCTTTCACCAGCTCACGGTAAAGTTAAACCAACTAAGATACATTTTTGTTTTTCATTTTTATCTTAATTGTAGCGTATTTGTGTGTCATTGTTTGAAGTTTTCTTTATGACGTGTTTTTTCTTTTCTAGCTGTTCAGTAATTGTTGGTTCTAAAGCAGAAAGGTGAGTCAGAGCTGCTGCTTTACCATCACTTAAATCATTTAAACTTCTTTATTTTAAGGATCATTATTGCTGATTTAAGCAAATGCTTTAAGATGATGATCTTATTATTTCATGAACTATAATTTCTGTGTGAATCATTTCCTTTCAGGTTGTAAATGTTTCCTATTGAGATTAAAATATTTCTTCTAAGTTGGAAGCGATGAATTCACCAAGAGGCCAAATTATCTGAGCATGATGATTCTCTAACACTTGATGCTTCTTATTTTTATTTATTTATTTTTATTTTTGGGGGGCGGTGACTTAGTATTTGGACTCCAAGACCACTGAAAGTGCAGGGCAATTATTTAAAACGGTTTAATTTGTTATATAGATGAAGAACATGGAAACTTTTTGCTTCAGACCAACCAAGATCAGGTTTTATTCCTCTTTTGCTTTTATGTAGACAGACTCAGAACCTGATTGGCTTTAGGTTCTTTAATTAGATGGTTATGTTAATTATCAGATTCAAAATGGGGTCTTCTTGCTCAGAATGTTATTTCCCTGGGCTCATCCACCATTTTTACTACCGTTTTGATAAGGTGGGGTTTTCTGGTCCCTACTGTGACTGAACTATTGGTAAATGTGGATGGATGGTTTATCCATGATGAGCAGTCACACTTAGGAAGCCTCCAGGTGGGAGTAACAGTAGATGAATTTGACCTTATTACAGTTATAGGCTTAGATTACCTAATCTATTGTAAATTAAAATAATGTAGGCATAGGAAACTAAAAACAGCTTTCCTTTAATTAGATGAAACCCAAATTGTAGTTAAATGCTGAACCTGTGGTTGTAAATGACAGCATTTGTTCTGTGAAGTTTTGATTGTGATTACTTTTGATCCCTGATTAATGCTACATCATCAGGGAGACTGTTGATTCTTTATTTGATGATTCTATGATGAAAGAAACTGTACTTAAAGTTTTTCTTTTATTTTAATATCCCGGTCATGAACAGACATTAATGGATTTGTTTAAAGGTGACTTTAAAAACGTCATCTTGTCAGAGGGAATTGTTAGGATTATTATTATTAATGATGTTTGAGTCTGTTAATCCCTAATATTAGCTGCCTGTTGCGTGTCAGAACTAATGTAGTTTCTCTAACTAGGACAGTTCCTGCAGTTATTATCTTCATTCTGTACGTGGCGAAGAGCTGGGAATGGAATGAGAGCGGCGTCCTTCAGCTAAGAACAAAGTGTAATATTTTGATAAGGCTGGAGCCATGGGTGTCTAATCATCTGCTAATGTGTATGATTTAATAATGTGGCAACAAACAATTGATTATCACTGATAATCATTGATAATAGTTTTTCCTCCTCATAATAAATCCAAATGTTTTGTTTAATCTCCCTCTAAAGTCAAACTTTTGTCAGGATAAAAGTATCCTCTCCATTATTTTGATTCATTTAACGATGAAAGAATTGTTAATTAAAGAGTGATCGCTGCAGAGAAAATAAATGGGAATCATCTTAGGTGGCAGCAGCTTCTTTTTCACTTTGATGGAGTTTGTGGAGCTTATTTTTCAAAGGTTAGCTAGCATTGCTTTTTATTTAAGTAAAACCTTTAGAAGAGCACCATGGAGACCAGGAGCAGATCAGACGATGTTGAATTCACAGTTATGTTCTATTGGTTGGTCTGTCCCATAAAAATACAAATAAATGTGTTTGTAAGGAGACACGTAGAAATATGTTACAACCTTAGCAAGGTGTTTGTTGTTGTTCCAATGAACCACAGGTCTAAAGTTCCCACCATGACATTCTCGGAGGATGGCGACATGGAGACCTTCGGCTCCGAGCTGCCAGCCATGTTTGATGGCATGAAGCTGGCCGCAGTGGCTGCAGTCCTCTACGTCATTGTGCGCTGCCTCAACCTGACGAGTTCACCTGCGGCCCCAGAGATCATCAGTCAGGACACGCCGCTCAGCCGATACCTGCTCAAGTCCTGCCCCACGCTTTCCAAGGAGTGGGTTTCACACAGCGCATATTCTTTGCTTCTGTCCCTCTCCTTTCCACTAAACCATCTGGCTGTGAAGGAGGATACATTTTTGTAATCTGGAGCTTGTGATTCCCCTCAGATACATTCCTCCCTTACTGTGGGGGAAGAGTGGTCATCTCCAGACAGCTCTGTATGGCAAGATGGGACGTGTCAGCACTCCAACACCCTGCGGGCTTCGTGTATTCCTCCCAATGCAGGACGGAGCCACAGCCACCTTTGACCTGTTTGAAGCTCTTGGAGAGCACAGCACAGGAGGTCGGTAGCATCTGAGTGTCAGCTTAGGGGTCGGTTTACTATTCTAGTATTGTTTTGTTTTTATCGGCTTGCTTGTTTGGATGATGAGTGCATCCGGCTGAAGAATGCAGGAGCATGAACAACTCCAATGAGAAACACACAAACACACTCTGACTCTCACTCGTGACTCCAGTTAATGTTTTCATTTGGTTTCTTTGTTTGGGTGTCAGATGATGTTACTATGGTAATCTGCCCTGGGATTGGTAACCATAGTAAGAAGAACTACATTCGAACCTTTGTGGATTACTCCCAGCGGCGGGGTTACCGCTGTGCCGTCCTCAACCATCTGGGAGCTCTGCCTGACATGGAGCTCACCTCGCCGCGCATGTTTACCTGCGGTAAGGAGGGTCAACATGTTTTACTGCCAGGATCTAACACAGATCTTCTAGATGGTGATATATGCAGGGGGAATGGAAAGTATTCAGACCCCTTTACATTTTTCACAATTTTTTAATTCATCTGGTTTAATTTGCATGTTTTCTAAGCCAAAACAATTGTTTGGGTTACTATATAAGGCTTCAAACTAAATGCCAATTCTGACATTCTGAATTGAAAAAGCTTCCTGGATGGGAAACAAAAAGTCTTCAAACTTGGAAAAAAAGTTCAGTGGATTGTTTTTTTTTACTTTAAGTCTTTTGTTAAAACTCTTTGTTTCATTGCAACCATTTGCTAAAATCACTAAAATTAATTTTATTTCTTATTAATGTACACTCAGCACCCAATCTTGACAGAAAAAAAAAACAAAAGTAGAAAGTTTTGTAAATTTGTTAATAAAGAAGAACTGAAATATCACAGGGTCATAAGTATTCAGACCCTTTGCTCAGCAGTGAGTTAAAGCACCATTTGAGCTACTACAGCCATGGGTCACTTGGTAATGATGCAACACGTTTTTCACTCCTGAATGTGGGGATCCTCTGCCATTCTTCCCTGTAGATCCCCTCCAGCTCTGTCAGGTTGGATGGTGAGCGTTGGTGGACGGCCATTTTCAGGTCCCTCCAGAGATGCTCAATTAGGTTGAGGTTAGGGTTCCGGCTGGGCCAATCAGGAATGTTCAGAGTTTTCCCCAAGCCACTCCTTTGTTATTTTAGCTTTGTGCCTAAGGTCATTGTCTTTATATTTGATCACTGCTGCACTTTATGGAATGCAAATGTTAGTTTACTGTCTGAAAAGCTTTAATAAACGAAACATAATTTTGTATACACTCTGTGTATACAAAAGAACGGCAATAAAATTTGTTTAAGTCCAAGTTGTTGGAAGTTGAACATTGGGCCCAGTCTTAGGTCCGGATCTACTCTGGAAGAGGTTTTCTTCCAGGATATCTCTCTACATTCATCTTACCTTCAATTGCAACCTGTCGCTGCAGCTGAAAAACACCCCATAGCATGATGCTGCCGCCACCATGTTTCACTGTTGGGATTGTATTGGGCAGGTGATGAGCAGTGCCTGGTTTTGTTCTTACATACTGCTTAGAATATGCCAAAAAGTTCAATTTTGGTCTCATCAGACTAGAGAATCTTCTTTCCCATAGTCTGGGAGTCCTTCATGTGTTTGTTGGTAAACTCTATAAACGCTTCCATTGGGCCACCAGTTTATCAGTTTATTTAAACACGGCTGGACTCCAGTGAAGGAGCAGAACCATCTGAACAAGGATCAGAAGAAATGGACTGCATGTGAGTTAAATAGGAGTGTCAAAGCAAAGGGTCTGAATACCTATGAACATTTGATATTTTAGATATTCCTTGGTGATATATTTGCGAAAAATGTCTATATTTCAGGTTTTTCTTTTGTTAAGATGGGGTGCTGAGTGTACATTAATGAGAAATAAAATGTACTTTATTGATTTTAGCAAATGGCTGCAATGAAACAGAGTGAAAAATTTAAAGGGGTCTGAATACTTTTCGTAACCCACTGTATGTAGCAAAGCGTTTTCTTTTTCTTCTACTTCAGGTTGTACTTGGGAATTCGGGGCCATGGTGGACTACATCAAGCGTACCTTTCCCCAAACACTGCTGGTGGTTGTAGGCTTCAGTCTGGGAGGAAATATAGTGTGCAAGTTCCTGGGAGAGAATCGGTCCAACCAGGAGCGAGTGCTGTGCTGCGTCAGCGTCTGCCAAGGATACAGCGCCCTCAGGTCGGTGCACTGGACATGCCAACGACCCAAACAATGAATTTAAGTTAGAGTATTTGGCTTCATGTGAGGTTATAAAACAATATCCCAGAGCGTTCTTCTATCCATCATCTGAAAATAGAAAGGCTTCACATTCCTAATAAGCACAATTCCCCTACTGTGAAACGGGCTGATGGTTGCATCATGCTCTGGGGAGGCTTTACTTTAATTACCTTTAGATCTGCTGGAATAAAACCTGCTAGAAATAAAAAAAAAATGTCTGGAGACTATTTCAAAAGTCATAAAAAAATTAACTTTACATCCAGATTAGGATCAAAGTGTTTTCTACCCAAACAGGACAGAAAACATGTGGTCAGGTCGTCCAGAGCCCCTATCCTGCAACTTCAGCAACCCCTGGATGAGATTGGTGGCTTGTTACCTCTACTGAACTGGATTGGCTTAATTTTCAGAAATTCAATCTATTCTTCTCTCTTCACTATTTTTTTTTCTAAAAGATCAAATTAAAGGAATATGACTAAACACAGTTAATGTGTGCAGTTTAGTTATAAAAAGAACTAACTGGTGGGACAAAGCCTATTTTAAATTGTTATATTGTTTTACATACATATTTAGATGCTGCAGAGTCACTGTATGTAGCAGTCTTGCAGTGCAGCAAAATGGTCCTGGGTTTGAATCCCAGTCCAGAGTCTTTCTGTATGTTCTCCCTTTGCATGCATGGATTCTCTCTGGGTACTCTGGCTTCCTCCCACATTCTATAGACATGCACTCCAAAAAATTGAAATCTAAATAAGTAATTTTTTCTTAAATTAAGTGCATTTTTTCTTTAATTGAGGAGGTATCTGAGACACTTTGCCAATGAAACAAGACTATTTAGATTTGGAATCAGAAAAAAAAACCAATTGCATTATCTTATTTCAAGTGCATATTATTGAATTATCTCATTATATTGGCAAATCATCTTATTTACCCACTCCAATTAAGAGTAAATACACTTAATTTACGAAATGTTTACTTATTTCCAGGTTTTTGCAGTGGTGGTAGTCTGGCTCCCTCCCACAGTCCAAAAACCTGACTGTTATCTTAATGGGCATTGTTAAATTGTCCTTAGCTGTGAGTTTTTGTGTGTATGATTGTGTGTGTCTGCTTCGCCCTGTGACAGACTGGTGACAGAACCCCGCCTTTCATCCATATACTGCTGGAGATCAGAGAAATAAGAGGCATGAGAAATGCATATATGCAAATTTGAAGCAGTCTTTACAGTTTAAGAATCCATAGGAGGAGTTTTTCTGGTTTTTCTGCATTGCTCCGCAGATTTCATTTAAGGTTTAATGGAGGATTTTCGTTATTTTTGAAAAGACCAACCCTCTCCATTTAAAGGGGAACACCGTTTTTTTTACTTTGGCTCCTTGATTTTACGTTATTCCATCATGTTTTACTCACCCATATGAGTTTTGTGCCATTTGGAGCCGTTCTGAAGATATTCCGTTAGGTTATATCCAAGTAACGTCTTCCTATGGGCAACGACTTGAAGGCACAAACTGAACTGTTCATAATTTATTCTTTATGGTACGCCAGCCTTCATAACATGTAGGCCAATCACTGTCCCCCACACATCTGCGGTTATATTTTTAATGTTTATATCTTTTAAAAACAAAGCGGAGTGTGTATGACATTTTGGTTTTATGATAAAAGCTTTTTCATCTGTAAATCTGCCCTATCCAAAACTCTTTAAATGAAAAAGTTTTAGTTTCATCTGGTTTAATTTTGCAAAAAGTCTTCTTTAAGGAACGTTTTGCTTTCATATTATTAATCCATTAATCAATAAAATAATCGAGAGAATAATTCATTAGTTGCAGCCCTAATGTTGACAAAATAAAGTCAAGGGGTCTGAATAGTTTTGCCAAACAC